TTATTTCATGATCGCGCGGTCCATTGGTTTGAACCAAAGATTACACTTGGTTGGAATGCCAAACTTGGTTCGCTTCGTACCAAATCCACATGTGTGTACGGCCAGACCGGACATTTTTTTATTTATTGATCAAAAATATTCATAAATATTTGCCTGATTTGTACCATTATACCAATAATAGTTTTTGTTGGTACTCACATTCAAGACTAATGCATTGCTTTACATAAATATTAAATTAATTTGTTAAAAGTAAAAAAAAATATTCTTATATATACCTTCTTTATTTTGTATGTGGTAAGATTATTTATTATGTAAGTTTTAAACGTGGAGGTGGGCTGTGCGTGCTCACATTTGCGCCCATAGACAGAGACAGAGATTTTAATTGAGCAGCAATACAGGGGCCACCGGCAGATCGGAGGAGAGTAGGCATACGCAAGCGTTCCTCTATATCAGGGGTCGGCAAGTAGTTTTAGGTACGGTCCAGATAAACCTTGAAAATTTTTACAAGGTCCAGAAAAAAACAACTGATAATAATTAAGTGTTAGGCAGCTATTTATTGTAGGAGTAAAATACTGAATTATAAAATTGTAGAATTAATGTAAAAATTGCATCGACGGTCTTGAGCTAGGTTTTTATAGTTTGGTTCTCGAGAAGAATAGCAAATTCGAAGAGTGTCTTCTAAGTGAGCGTCCGTTAATCTCGAACGATATTTGTTTTTCAAAAAAATTCATCTTTGAAAAAGATGTTTCGCATACGTATGTCGAACCAAACATAGTGGCTAAATTGATAGCAAGTTTTTTGTAATTTTCATATTCTACTGGGACATGTTTGACCCAAAATTCTTCAGTTGACACAGTTTTATATATTTGCAAAGACACATCTTCTTGCAGATCGATTATATCCATTTGAAGTGATGGCTTTGACAGATTAAACAACTTGGCAGCCACATCTGTCCATTTTGCTGCTACATCAACTTCAAAGGGTGACTTAAAAAACAGAGACAGTTTGCCCATCTCTGCAAAGTCTTGGAATCTTGTGGCAAATTCGTTCCTAAGATCGGCCAAAAATGTTGTAAACACTGCAATGTCTTCTTCAGAGTTTTCTTTTTTATATTCCAAAATTGTCGGAAAATGAACAAATTCTTGTCTTGCAATATCTTTTCAAAGAAAAAAAATTTTTTTTTCAAATTATGTTTTTCAATAAAGCAGGCACGCTTTCTATCAGATCACATATTAATTTTCCATTTCCTTGTAACTCTGTGTTGAGCGCCTTTAAATATTTCAAAATATCTTTTAGAAAAGCCAGAACCAGCATATTGCGCTTATTTGTTACGAACTCAATGTGCTTCTTAGCTCCCTGCGTATCTAAGTTTTACAAGAAGGGGGTTACTTGTTCTTTTATTAGCCAAAAACGTTCAATAACTTGACCTTTACTTAGCCAACGAACATTGTTGTGTTGCAGTAAGTCAGAATACGCTGAATCACATTCAAAAAGAAACTCCTTGAAATGTCGGTGCTGAAGAGCAGAATGATATCTCATAAAATTTACTAACTTCACTAAGCTGTCCATCACTTCTTTCAGTGTAGCGCTAAGTTTTCCACAAAGGGCTGCCTGATGAATTACGCACTGATACGATGTTAGGCCTGGATTTTTATCCCTAATTCTCTTTACTACACCTTTTTCTTTGCCAATCATTGCTGGGGCCCCGTCAGTTGAAAGCGACACAATTTTATCGTAACTGATGTTAGATTTAGTAATAAATTCATCAATTACCTTGAATAAATCTTCTCATCGAGTGTTACCTTTTAGAGGCAATATTGTTAGCAACTCTTCCCTAAAAGTTTTAGATTCCATGTCAAGAAATCTGACAAAAATTGACATTTGTACATCATCAACAATGTCACATGACTCATCAAGTGCTATATAGCGTAGCAAGGTGCCTTTTGCAGAAGTTCGAAATGGGTGATTTTAATATCAGCAGCTAAAATTTCAGTTCTTCGCGTATTGCTTCTTGCTGATAATGGAATATTTTGAATTCCAGCGACATCTTTTTTTTTCTTCAAAAAGTGCCGTGACTGCTGCCAACATACATTCCTTCACTATCTCACAATCCGAAATGGTTTCTGGTGTTTATTAAGCGTCCAGCACACAGGTAACGCTGCGTCTGTGGATTTTTCTTGGTCGCTCATGCAGCGAACTAGTAATTTTGTGCTTTTATTGTAAGAACGGAGATGTGCCTGAAGTTTTTCTTTACGAGCCTCACTGCCAAGAGGAAAGTTTTTGTGGAATTGCTGATGAGTCGTTTCATAGTGTCGCTTCAAATTTCCACTTTTAACAATAGCAACAGTTTTATTGCATATAAGGCACACTGGAACTGCTTGAGGCCTATCCGGCTGCGTAAAACAATATTGTTCAGTCCATTCTTCTAGAAACCTCCTATTTTCACTGTCCACTTTTCGCTTTTTAGAATCCATACCACGCTTAGGTACAAAAATATAATTTAATTAAACGAACGAAAACTCGACAAATCACAAAACAAATGAACTGTTGCTTCGCGATTTGCACTGCGACTGACCGACTAGCAGTCTGCTTTCCTCTCGCCCGCACGCCCACACTCCCAATTTCGATACTCGCGCGCGCTGTTGCTAGTACGCTCGCGTGTTAACAATACCTGGCGGCTCGCTAGGCCGCGATCAGTCGCAAGCTTGCAAATGGTCTTCTGAGGAGCCTTACCACAGAACATATATATATATATATATATATATATACCCTAAAAATGGTAATAATTTCCCCCCAAACCCCCCCCCTCCCCCCCCCACACAAAACCCCCCCCCCCCCCCCAAAAAAAGTAAATACGCGCACCAATCGAAAAGGCACCGAAAGTTCGAGTGTCGGCTTCTAGAAGCTTAGTTCTTCGTTTCGACACCAGATGGCGCTGTCGGTTGAAAGATTAGTGATGTCATTTTCTGGAAAGCTCCCCTCGCTCTCGTCCCCGACACTAGATGGCGCTAGTGCCGGGTACATGACGTCAACTTAGGCGCGCAACAATAGTATAAGCCCACGCGGTCCTATGCGCACAACAAAACTAATTGCAGCCACACTGCTCACTAGACTTTAGTTTTTCTTTTATTTAGTTTTTCTTTTGCAGCAAAAACAGACCTAACAAGTCAAATTAAATAAAAATATATAAAAATATTTAATTCATAAGTAATTTTCAATCACATTATTGTTAATTTCTTTTTAAACGACTCCAAAAAGGAGGAGCTTCTCAATTCGAATGTATGTAGAAGCACATGTTTCTTCAACACATTTGTTTCTTGCATATAAAATTAACCATTTTGCCATAAAATAAAACTACTGTTGTGTTTTACCGTAAATTGAAACGCAACAGTGATAAATAGCCGGGCCTATCAAATATTCAATTTAGATATATTCAATTTCGTTTATAACGCTTCTTAAACTTTGATGCTCCAGGACCCCAGGCGCTGTTGCATATCCCCTAGACTACTTGAGATACTGTCGTCATCGACTGTTTGCTGGCATAAGATGAATAAATTATCGTGAAAAACTTCGCAGCGTGACTCTCTAATGATGGAATTGTGGAAAAATTTTGGAATAAATTAGGATAGTTTCCGAATTCTTGATACCGGCAAAAACATAACCATAATCCTCCACCATTAAAGAAAATACCTTTAAACCAATATTCGGTACGGGTAGAATCTACTAGTTGCTAATTAGCTTTAAAGTTGTTCAAAACGGCTATAAATCAATAGCACGCTACAGCCTATAAACTATACATTTTTAGCACGCATTAAATACGCATACCGCCCCCGCAACAAGCACTACTCATAACCGCTGCTATATAAGAACATTATTTCGTAATAATTCACATTTTGGACTAAAATAAAATAAAGCGGTAAAGAAAGACAATAAACACTCTTTCATACTTTTTAGGCTTAGAACTTTCTATAATCGATGTAAACTTTATTTTTATAAAATAGGGTGACAAACGGGCACACAGTCCACCTGGTGGTAAGTAGTTGCTCTGGTCCATAGACATCTACTTCTATCCTCGATTACGAATCAAAATGCAGATGCGTTATCACCCGTGAGGACTAAGATGGAATGCCTCGTTTCCAGTAAAAAAAGGGTCTTCGGTTCTCTACACGCACCATACGAAATACAGCAGCATAGCTAAATGCTAATTTACGCTTGTATTTTGTTGAGCCAACCCATTCGTGCTATAACGTTTTACTAAATAACTGCAGTATGGCTCTACCACGTATAAGTTATTTAAACCTTAATGTAAATTATAAATCAATTAAAGCGTCACTTAACATAAATCAACTACATATACATACACTTTTGTATTTATTATAATATACTCTTATTATATACACTTTTGTATCTATATTTTATTTTAATTTAACAAAATTAGTTAGGGTACTTTTGTAGCAGATAACCGTGTTTTCGGTCACTTTTAAATATACAGAAACAACGTCTAACACTAAATTTGGTGCGATGAATAGCGTACACCTAGATCAAATATGCGTCACAGGTCCACTTCTAACAGCGCTGTCGCTGCTAGAACTAGTTGCCGTTAGATATTAATAGCGTCAAATCACCATAGCGCCATGGCGGCTACTTACATAGCACGCGCTATGCACTATGGACAAATAGCGCGCTATAATATGGCGCTATGTGCTATATTCACCACCATTAGTTAGCCTATGCTGTTAGTTAGTCTGTGAAACCAATTTATTGATTTTTGATGTAGGTACCTATCAAATTGTATTGAATTGCTAGAAAGTTGAAAATTTGTTGAAAATAAATTGCCTTTTAAGTAATTTAAATTTATTCATAACGTTATTGTTTAAGGATTCACAAATCAACAAATAACTATTTTGCTTAAAGAATATTAGAACAGAGCATCTTGATTTTTAAGGGCTACGCTTTGTAATAGTACATTAAACAAATAATTTTGCGTTCCAAATAAAGAAATGGATGATACAGAACTAGAACCATCTGAACTTGGTACGCGGCCTTACTGGCAGAAAGCATATACAGAAGAAATAATAAATTTTGAAGAGCGTGGTGACCCTGGTGATATTTGGTTTGGAGAAGACAGCGTTTATCGTGTTATTAAATGGATAAGTCAGCGCGGGGTACCAAAAGATACAGCCGTAATAGATTTGGGTAATGTATTAGTATTTGTTGTTTTATATTCATTGTATAGTGTTAAAGAGCTGTGGTAGCTCATATGGTTAGCGCGCGCTGTAAATTTCACAGTACGCGAGCAACCCGGGTTCGATCCCTGCTGGCACCAATCAAATTCTTGACTGCAATTTTAAGTGCTGATTTACCACATGCTCGGCGGTGATGGAAAACAGGGTGAAGAAACCTGCATGTGTGAGAAATAAGAAAAGAAATCGAAGACATGTGAAGTTCGCCAACACGCATTGGGGCAGTGCGGCGGTCGCTTACATGCCCTACAACCCTCTCAAAAATGAGGGAGGCCTGTGCCCAGCAGTGGGACATATATATAGGCTGTAACTTTAAGTTTTAACTTTGTTTAGTGTCCGTGTATGAATATTCATTCATGAATCACACATGAATAATCATTCATTGGGGGCGTTTGGCAGAAAAAAGCGCTAGCAAGCGCTTGTAAGCAAAATGGCAAAACTAAACAGTTTTCGGCCAGGACATGTTTGCTAACTTCAGTAGCGCTGACACAATCCGTCATTTTGCTTATTTAATTTGTTTGTTTTGTAGTAGAGTTTATAAGTTGTTTTGTGCTATATTAGTTTTAAGTAATATAATGACATGAATAAACATATACATGTTATTAAAAATTCATGATTGGTAAGTTCTTAATATGAATACTTTACAAACATATATTTAAATTAGGTTAGGTTTCCCGGTTAAAACTAACTTCGTGTCCTAGAGGAGAATAGCTACTTACGATTTGACAGCCCTTACCGCTTACGATCACCATTTTGCTTACAAGCGCTTGCTAGCACTTTTTTCTGTCAAACGCAGCCATTGCGACATTTTTGAATGAAACAAGACGGTCGGCAGCATTTTCATGATAACAAATTAAAACAATGCAAAATTACATTTGTCAACCTGCTAGCCAAGCGACGCAACTATGGCAAATATACCATTGACCCAATCTATGCCTATGTTCAGCAGTGGACTTTGACAGGCCATAAATGAAACTAATATAGGTAAAGATTTAGTATCAAGTCGCCTTAATAGTGTGATGGGGGGGGGGGTAAATTTGCCCCCACATTTCCCCCCACCAGAGCCAAGTAGTATTTTTTATATTAAAAGTTAAAAATTAAAATTTTTATTGAATGCCTTCTCAGAAAATACCTTAATAGGGAGGTGGGGGGTTTGCCCCCCCTCCTCCAGCTTATAATACTTATAATATTCATAATGTTTCACCTACATAAGTACTCCACTATCGCATCACCAAAATTCTCTGTTATTATTTGTAGTAATTATATTTTTTTTGTAAAATGCTTCATGGCTCTCCATTGTGACGCAATCCTTTGTGTGCGCATCCCATCTGGAGGCAAAAAAGAATTGTCAGGGTCTGAATGGTTAACTTTTTTATGGGTGTACCTATATTCTGCTAGGCAGTCATATGCTCTCCAATAATCTGTATGAATAGTGGTGCCCGTTTCTGTTTTTTGAATTAAGGGTACCATTTTGTGAATTTTGACAGGTGCAACTTAAAAAACGTAAGAATTGAGTGTAACTTAAGTACTGTTTTAGGTATTAATTAGTGGTTTATGAATATTTTTAGAAATTATTTTAAATATTTCGAAGCAGCTACGGCAGCTAAAATTGTTTGGGGGTGCTTGAGATAAGCTCCGTTGACCCCCCCATAGTAACAGATAGAGATTGCAAAATCCGGATTTTTTTGAAATCCGAATTTCTGAATTTCCCTATGATTAAAATCCGGATAATCCGGATTTTTCGAAGTTTTAAGGTGATTTGATAAAATTGAAATAAAACAGCATAAATCATTTGAAATCTGCATTTATTCAGGTACGACGGAATAACATCAACTAAAATAAACAACAAAACACAGTCTTAAACAGAACGTAACATAAAATCAAAAGCAACTAAACGTAAGATAATTAAAGTATTCATCATTTTTATAAAAGTGCAGTCTCAATAAAACTAATGTTTCAGGTAACTCAGTTACAAATAAGAGAAGAAATAATTAATAAAAACACAAGGCGCGAGGTCGGGGCTATATGGCGGGTCACCCTATAACTCCACGTATGACGTCGCAAAGTAGTCGATCGTTTGCTTGGCGGTGTGCGACGAGGCGTTGTGGTGGTGAAGGAGCCTCCTACTGCGAGGTCGTTTCTCCTGAACTTTTACTAAGAGAAGTGGCAAACAATTGTTAGTGTACCACTCTGCAGTAACTGTTCTTCAATCCTCTAAATCAATTGTTGCATAATGACCTGTCCTTCCGAAGAACGAGGCCACCATCTTTTTTTCCACACTTTGACCTCTCATCACTTAAGTTGGCAACTCCTCGGAAGGAAACACCCAGACAGCAGACTGTCTCTTAGTTTCAGAATCATAACAATAAATGCAGCTTTCGTCACCCGTAAGTATATCGAACACAGCATTTGAGTCACCTCCGTTAAATCTTTGAACCATTTTACGACACCAATCAACACGTCGTAGTTTTTGGGCCTCTGTCAAATTATGAGGTATTCACCGGGCACAAAGCTTCCTGACCGCTAAATGTTCTTGGAGAATTTTGTGCACTTGACTCATACCGATGCCTAAGCTGGTCCGAATCTGCTGATAAGCCACTCTTTTGTCAGTCTCTATCATACGCCGTACCACACTGATGTTATCTTCAGTCGTCGCCATAGAAGGCCTTCCCTCACGCAGATCTTTGATGAGATTTGTCACGTTTAAACTCATTAAACCAGTTGTAAACAGCGGCACGAGATGAGGCTTCATCGTGAAAGGCCAATCGCAGTCTATCATAACTTTCTTGTTGACTTAAATGACATCGAAAGTCATAAAAAATCGTTGTATGAAAATTTTCTCGCGTTAAATTCATGCTGACGTAACACAGACAATTTCCAATTTGCCACCAAATCGTAAACAAATTAATAAAATACATACATAATAGTATTGGCAGAGTTCTATTTTCAAAATTTGAACTTATTTTTTATTTTATCGCTTACACTTGTTCTAGTTCTAAAAACTTGCTAGCTGTGAAAAAAGCTCTTTCAGACTCAACACTGGTCGGCGGTATAAAAATCTGTTCAGAATTTTCTTTAGGTTTTTGTCCACGACCTCCAGCGTTTTCAAATAAAGAGATTTCAATGTGAAACAGTTGCGCTGATTACACTCGTTGACTTGTGTTGATGATCACTACCCACACTTGCAAGAGAAAGTTGACGTTTGAGATTTTCTTTAAAACTGAGCGGCGATGGATCAGAACTATCGCACAGATTTTCTTAAGTAGATTTCGTAGTTGTCGACGTGGTCGTGCAATCGTCAATATCCAGGGATGCAGCTTGATAGATCACATTTTTAATTTCATCATACGTAGGTTTTTTAAATGTATCTTCGTCTTCCTCGGTCTCATTTGAAAGTTGATTAGGGTTGGGTAAGTATTGTAAGGCACCGACAATGTTATAGAGTCGCCTCTCTATAATTTTCCGTTTCAATGAAATTGCCAGTTGCCTGGCAGACATCGTGTCTTGGCTGTCTAATGATTTTATTAAACATTTAAGAGCTATACCCAATCCTACCAATTCAAACATTGTTCGAATTTGCGTATTAGAGTAGGTAATACCTAACTACTCATTACTTAGAATGAAAATATGTAGATAAATGTAAAATATTACCGATTGAACTCAATTTTGACTAAAATCCGGAAAAACCGGATTTATAAAACTCTAGAAAATCCGGATTTGTCAGTTATTTTCGAATTTCGAAGAATCCGGATTGCAATCTCTAGTGACAGAATCCTCAAATTGAGGTGACTTGATACTAAACCCAACCCCTAATATATCTTTTGTTAATGTATCATTTGGAACCAAGTTTACAATAAAATACAGGTATTATCTTGAGAGGTAGCCTCATACCGATGAGCAAAGTTTGAGTTTGAGAGATGGCCCCTCACTAGATGGCAAGTTGCCGTGGTCAATGGATGCAAGTGGCTTAGGACTGTGCTTTATGGTATTCTTTTGGGGTTTGTAAAAAAATCCCGCCTGGATGCTGCCCCGATGCGGACCATCCAGTCAGAATATGAAAGTGAGGGAATAGAGAGTGCACGTGTGCACATACACTTGGGCACTATAATTCTGTCCGCCATGACCCAAATTCAATCTGTTGAAAATTATAATTAATATATTAATATTTTCACTTCAAGGTTGCGGCAATGGATATACATTATATCAGCTGGCTTGGAAGGGCTTCACAAACCTCCTCGGTGTTGATTACTGTCAAGAAGCTATTGTATTGGCGGGGAAGGTGGCACAGAAGCAGTTCCCTTTTATAAAGTTGCAGGTATTTTTGTGTACCAGGTCGTAGGACTCCTTCTTAGGAGTAGGACTCCTTCTTATAGGAGTAACATCTACAAATCTACTACAAAAGGGAACACAACAATTTAATATCCTGCCACTGACAAAGTACAGTATTACGGTACAAATACTTCAACTTATCTTGGTATGTGGCGCTGTGTGTATGTGTGCTTGTAAATATGCAGCTTTGATTTGTGTAGTAGTGACACGGCAGTCATCTTCCATGCAATACATGTTCTTATCGTTTTATTGTGTATGTACAGTTGATACTAAATATGTGCAATAAATATGTATGCATTTAATTAATTAATCTGTTGCGGCTCTCCGTATTGTGGAGAGATGGTGCAGGGAATATGACCTAACCGTTAATCCAAATAATACGGTTATAGTAATGTTCACACAAAAACGAATGCTGAATAACTATCATCTTCCAAGTCTTTTCAGCACAAAACTCCAACTTTCTTCCGAGGTAAAATACCTAGGTCTTACCTTGGACAGTAAACTTAATGAATGAATGAATGAATGAATATACTTTTATTGTACACCACAAACAAATATACAGTTAACAAAACACAAAAAAGATTATAATATTATGTAAGTACAATTTGGCGGCCTTATCGCTACATAGCGATCTCTTCCAGGCAACCAAAGGTGTAAGGATTAGAACAGTGAGAACTAGGTAGGTGGTGCAATATAAATATACATAATATAATAGCGATTTATAGACAATACATGCAATAAAATAACATACAAATAACTAATACATGAAATTATATAAATTGCTAAAATATAATAAAAATAAAGTAAAACATATATAAATATAAATATACATACATATATATAAATATATAAACAAACTTACACATTTACTCAAATATAGATATATATATACATATACATAAAAAATTCCTCAAACAATAATATAAAGCAGATAAATACAATAGATACATAATCACTTAATTTATTCTAACGGTGTTAAAACGACTGAGACAAGTAATGCTCTTTAAGTAGTCGCTTAAATATAACAATCGTTTGTGCTTCACGTATACGCAACGGTAGGGCATTCCAGAGCTTGATAGATTGGACAGTAAAAGATTTATTAAAAAAGGAAGTATTGTGAGTTGGAACCCTTAAAATGAATTTTCTTGAAGAACGTAGAGGTTCTCCTGGAAGCCCTACAAAACTAAACTTCTCCTTTAGATAAGGAGGTGTAGAAGGGTGAAATAATACACAGTACAGAATAGAAAGAATATGCATATTCCGGCGAAGTCGGATAGGTAACCACTTGAGACGTGAGCGAAATTGGGAAATATGGTCAAATTTGCGCAATCCAAATATGAACCGAATACTAGTGTTTTGAAGTCTCTCAAGCTTATTTAGCTGGTCCTCAGTTATGTCTACATAGCTTGCGTCAGCATAGTCGAGAATCGGAAGGAGAAGAGACTGTGCGAGCATAATTTTTGTAGGAATGGGAAGAAATGATCGAAGGCGACGCAGTGAACTAAGAGCGACAAAGGTTTTCTTACTTACCTCATTCAGTTGGCGTATCCAATTTAAGGAGTTATCGAAATAAATACCAAGATTTTTGACACTGTCAAAGTAAGGAATTACAATTCCATCGAATTCGATAGGTGGTACGGAGGACCAGTCAATTCTTGAGATAAAGCTCCGGCTACCAATAATAATGGCCTGTGATTTTTTGGGATTAACATTTAGGCCGTATGACTTACTCCACTCATGAATAATATTTAAATCGTTATTTAATGTAGAGATTGCATTCGGCAAATTCTCAAGAGTTGACTGGGTGTAAATCTGAACATCATCCGCATACATGTGGTAGAGAGAAGATATTTTATGAGTGATTGAATTAATGAAAATGGAAAAGAGTAAAGGTGACAACACGCCGCCCTGCGGCACGCCTGCAGTAATATCACACCAAGATGAGTGAGTTTCATCTACACGAATACACTGCCGACGGCCACAGAGATAACTTTGAAACCAGTCAATTACTGATGGAGATATGTTAAGGGAACACAATAGACTCAACAGTATATCGAAATCAACAGTATTGAACGCATTACTGAAATCCAGCAAGGTCATGACTGTGAGTTGTTTATTATCCATACCCCACCGTATGTCATCAGTAACTTTGATTAAGGCAGTAGCCGTACTATGACCAGGACGGAAACCTGATTGTAAAGGATTCAACAAATTGTGCTTATTAAGGAAAAGGGTTAGCTGTTGGCAAATAAGTTTTTCAAGGACTTTAGAAAGGAAAGGTAAGATCGAGATGGGACGGAAATCAGAAAGGTTGACAGGATTGGTTCTCTTCGGAAGGGGTATAACATGTGCACTCTTCCAGGCTTGAGGGAATTTAGACGAAGAGACACATGCATTAAGTAAATAAGTAATAGTAGGAGCGATAACATCAAGGAGAGGAATGATCATATCACGGCTAATGTTGTCGCTACCGACAGCTTTTGAGGAGATGGATAATATGATCTTCTTAACATCACATACAGTAAACTGACTAAAAACGAACGGAGGATAATTAGGAGTCGGAGTTACAGAAAGAGAACGAAGTGTTTGCAATTTCTGTTCTCTATCAAAAGAGTTAGAAGGATTAGAAAAATGTTGATTTAATAGTTCAACATCAACACAAGGAGGTAAGGCATTTAGGGATGTTCTTCCAACTCCAACTGTTTTAAGAAACTTCCACACTCTAGATGAGTCGCCGTTCTCGACTGATGTATGAATATGGCGTCGTTGTGCATCTCTACATAATGTATTGCAGCGATTCCTGATTTTGGCGTATTTCCTTTGGTTTTCCTCTGTTTTATTCCTCTTAAGCTTTGACAATGCTACATTTTTCTTCAAGATAAGTTTTTTCAGATCATCAGAGAGCCATGGAGCAGGTAAATGTTTGAGTTTTACGTAATGCATTGGCGCGTGAATGTCATAAAGCTGAGTAAGTAAGGAACAGAAAAGTTCAACTTTATCATCAATGCACGGTACTCTCTCAATCACTGACCAGTCAATGTTATGCGCATCTTCACAAAGTTGGTCAACATCCATTCCTCCAAAATTACGTCGCAGAACTAATTTAGGTTTGATTTTAGGAGGGCGTAGTTTATACGAAAGGAAAATTAAATCGTGGTGAGAGAATGCATCAGCAGGACACTGTCCGTGTTTGAAAACCAGTGTTGAAGATGACACTATAATTAAGTCAAGAAGGGAAGGAGTACAGTTAGGAAAGTTATGAGTAGCAGAAAGGGGTAGGATTTGCATATTACACGCTTCAATTATAGACTTAAGCTTTATAGCCCGATTGTCGCCTTTAAGCAAACAGGTGTTAAAGTCTCCCATCAAAATAGTATGACTATACGTAGGGACTAGTGATTCCAAAAGAGATTCGAAAGAAGTAAAATAGTTTACAGAAAGAGAGGGACTGTAGAATACTCCAAGAAGGATTTTGTTCTGAGACAGGGAGACCTCAACCAGCAAATGCTCAGCAGAATCAACAGGGGGTGGTTGACATGACGAACTAACAATTTTAAATGGAAAGTAGGATCTAAGATAGATCGCCACGCCCCCGCCACCCCTATTAGTGCGATCATTTCTAATTAGATGAAACCCGGGCAAAGAGTAAGAAGTAGAAGGCAGACAGGGTTTTAGCCAAGATTCTGAAACTAAAATAGCGTGAATATTTTGGGATTCAAATGACGCAAGCATGTCAGGATAATGAGCCGGAATGCTTTGGGCATTAATATGAATAGCATTGAAGTTATTCACACAGTCTGAGAAACAAGAATTTAAGGTAATGTTGAGTGAAGGAGAAGCAGTTGTACTGTGATAACTAACGTCACTATGTGTCTCATCATCTGAAGACAACGTCAGAAACAAATCACTGTCATTACAAATGTTTGAGGATAACATAAATGCTATATTAAAATATACAAATAAATTTATACTACTTATATACACTTAAAAAATAAAATATAAATAAAAATGCAAGATCAGACAGTACCTACACTATTACAACCACCAGCAGCATGAAAGAGAAAGCATATAACAATACAACAACTTAATTAAAGAAATAAAACAATCAGTTAAATAGTAAAACTTCCCAAAACTAGCTGTCTGACACCAATAAATTGTAAGAAGAAATTAAACACGTCAGACTAGGCAGTATGGGTTTATATGCCTTTGCCATACTAATAAACTAAAAAAAAGAAAGAAATCAAAGAATGCTTCTGCTTCTGTGGTTACAGGCTTACAGGTATATTACCACAAATTATAAAGTTGTATGTACAAGATGGTATATTACAATATAGACGACGAATATAGATTACTGACTTGGGTACCAATGTCATTATAAAGTTAATTAAACATAAAAATTATTATCAGAAAATAGAAAACACATAAAAAGAATTAACAATTAATCTACCTGTATTGTGCAATGATTAAAATAATTTGAGTAATATTCATCAAACCAGTGCAAACCCATTATGAAATTAATGGCATAGAAATCTATGGCAAAGGATAATATTAATAATAAATACCTGATAACCAAAAGTTACAAAAAACAAGAAGAAGAAGAAAAATAGTAATAATATATGAATTGAGCTGCTGGAGTAAATGAATAAAAGCGGAATTACATGAGAAACACGCCACAACCATCATTTTTTCGTCATCTTCCTAGCCCTAGCTGTAGTAACACAGGGCTTGGGAGCCGAAGATGCCGCCACGGCCGTCGCCGGAGTCAAGGATGAGTTAGTAGGAACACTACCAGCTGCGTCAGGAATGGCGATCACCTCAGCCACGGTGTACACCCGGTGCTTCGTGCCATCGGACCCAAGCACCACAACATATCCGTCTCGTGTCCAACATTGCGAAACACCAAAACGCTTCCGAGCAGCAACGAATGCCTCATGACGGCCCTTAGTCATGAACTCAGATAGAGTAACTCCGCTACCCTTTAACTTGGTTTTGGTATACCAAACTTTGTCACGCAGATCCTGATCTTGAAATTTCACAAGCAGTGCACGAGGCTTGTCTCCGCGGGGGCGCCCTAAGCGATGGCATCTGGTGATAGATCCCTCAGTTATTTCTGGGATGTTCAGTCGCTCCGATAATAGCTTACTCGTGCAATGCACTGGATTCCCATCTCGGGTTTCTGGCACTCCATGGACAAGCAAAATCTTCCTCCTGGTCCTTACTTCCATTTCCTCTTGCTTCCTACAGAGAAGCTGGAGTTGAAGTTGCAGGTTCTCAAGTGCTGACAGGACAAATGCCCTAAAGGTATTAAATTGTGCATTAATGTCGGAAGATGGGCTTGTTGCAGGGATGGATGTTCTGACCTCCCTCTGGAACTCATCCATACGTGAAGTGAAGTTCAGCGTTAGCTCTTCAATTGACTTCTTAAGCAAATCCATGATGTAAATTAAAGGTTATTTAAAGGTCAATGTCAGGTGACAGTGAAGTGGCAAAATAAGTTTTAAGTTGTGCACAGTGGAAAACAAATTATTAGTAAACAATGCTGGTGGATTTATGTAATTATAGGTACATTTATATACTTGATTGTTCTTTATTTACTATTTTTAAACTTTAAAAATCAGGAACGATTTTAAATATGACAAAACACTTTGCGCCTACCCACCAAAAACTTAACTGGAACAAACACATAGAAAACAAAATCAGCAAAGCTAGTTTAACTTTCTGGCAGTGCAGAAACATGATTGGCAAACGATGGGGTTTAACGCCAAAAATTATACTGTGGCTGTACAAAACTGTAATTCGGCCCATGATCACATACGGCTCTCTGGTATGGTGGACCAAAACCAATGAAGCCACTACTATACAAAAGCTTCAGCGTTACCAGAAATTGGCTTGTATGGCTGCCACGGGCTGCATAAGGACAACACCAACAGCAGCTTTGGAGGCTATGCTGGAGCTAACACCGCTTCATCTACATATACAACAAGAAGCAACTTTAGCTGCCATTAGACTCAAGACCCTAAATCTTTTAAGTAAGAGTAGAGTCCCCCATACAGATATAATCATAGAATTTACTCAAAAATTCCTATCTTACAAGCCAAGTATGATAGGATCCCAAAACAATTTGTATTTGATAAGAAGTACAGGATACAATTGAAGGAAACTGACCATCTGGAAGGATTGGGTCCAAGAGAGCTCAAAGTTTTCACGGATGGCTCTAAGACAAATGAAGGTGTGGGGTCTGGGGCTTTCTCTGAAGACCTTAATATGCACATATGCACACCGCTGGGTACCCACAACACAGTCTTCCAGGCTGAATGCATGGGTATCATCCCAGCGGCCATAGCAATAGATGCTAGGAAGGTGAAAGACTTCTCCATCAGAATGCTGACCGACAGTATGGCGGTACTACAAGCTCTGAGTTGCAATGTGACGAACTCGGGACTGATATACGAGTGCCATCAACGATTGAATGAGGTATGTAAGCACAACAATGTGACTTTGCAATGGATCAAGGGACACAGTGGATCTAGAGGCAACGATGCAGCAGATGAACTGGCCAGAAGGGGATCGGCCCTAGCAAATATAGGGCCTGAACCATTAATACCAATCCTCTTTGGCTACGTTCGTTCATTGGTACGTAGATACATCAATAATTTACACGCTCAGCTTTGGAAAAATTTTGTAGACTGTAGACAAGCTAGGGAGGCCCTACCTGAAATAAACAGTCGTCTAACCAAGGTTCTAATGAGACTGAACAAGCCACAGATCAGGATAGTAACAAGTGCTATCACAGGACATGGCTCTTTTAACAAAAATTTGTTCACCATATTTGCCCCCTGTGCAGGGCATGCATGGGAGAGGAAGAAACGGCGGCTCACGTGTTGCTGACATGTCCAGAAGTCGCTTCATACAGGGCTAAACATCTCGGCACGCCGGGATCGCTCCCCGAAGGTGCTTGCAACATCAAGGGACTGCTGAGCTTCTTCGGGGAGATATCATGGCTCGAATAAGCATATTATTCCTGCCCACACGCAAAATACGCGCTTAGACGTGGAGTTGCGGAAAACAGCCCGTCGTAAACTAAACTAAACTAAACTAAATTAATCTGTTATTTTATTTTAAATTTGACAAATAAGAAATGAAAATTTTCGACATATTTTTTAAGTGAAAAAACCTAATTGACACATTGTGTCAGGCACAGCAGGCACACGCAGTCACTGTGTCTATATAAGCTTTACACACACATAGCGCTGTATGCCAAGATGAGTTGAAGTATCTGTACCACTTAATTTTCTGCCTAGTATTCCATCTGATTAGGTATAGCAGTGTTCGCATCTTAGTCCTCAGGGGTGACACTGTAGTCTACTTTGCTTGAGGTATTTTTTTATGGTATAGGGTGACAAACGAGCACACATTCCACCTCATGGTAAGTGGTTGCTGTGACCCATAGACATCTACATTTATCCTCGATTAAAAAATAAAATGCATATGCGTTGTCACCCATGAGGACTAAGATGGAATGCCTCGTTTCTAGTAAAAAAGGTCTCCGGTTCTCTAAACTCACCATAAAAAACACAACAGCATTAAAGTACTATTTTATGCTGGTATTCTGTGAGAGCATGGTCCTTCCACAGTCGAGCCGAACAATTCGTGCTACAACTATATTACTAATGTAACTGCTGCATGGCTCTACCACGTATAAAAAGCACATTCGTTAGTTCATTGCACGTGCCAATGGATAACAGTAGAAAGTTACTGTTAGGACTGTTAGTTGACTTGTAATATTACTAATGGTGATTGTATTTGGGAATCCTTCATCTCGTCTTGTTCTGTCAGTGCAAATGTTACGAAGATGCTTTAAACATCATAACAGCTACACTGTCTGGTTTCCAGAAACAATAGTAAGACAATAGCAATGACTCGTATGTGGGTCACGGGACAGTGAACATGTTAAATAGTATACCTGATGCAAAGGCGACAGAAAGTGGCATTAAAAGTTGTAGAGGTTGTTGACAAGTATGCTAATTAAACACAGGTCCTTTTTAAAATGGGAGCGACACCTGTGCTATTCGAGTATTTATTCCATGGGCAGCCTCTTATCACTGTCCTGAATGAAAGTAAATTCCCAGCATACATTTCACTACTGGGTTTAGGCCTCTACTCATTTCTGAGAAGGTTATGGAGATGTTAGTTCACTACACCATTCCAGTGCATATTGGCGATCTTCATATTACATATTACCATTAGATTGTTAGTCTGTTAAAAGTCCTCTACTGAACATAGACTTCAGAACATAGGCAATGGAAGGATATTTGCAATAGTTGTCACTCTCGCCAAGTGGGTTGGCAACCACAGTTTTTTTTTAATTTTTAGTCTTTATTAGGAAGAAGCTGCTTCCCCCAATCTGCTGGTTTGTTTCTCTCTATAACGACACCCACAGGACAGGTTTTTTTCACACAGTCCACCTGATGGTAAGTGGATGCTGTGGCCCATAGACATCTGCGTTTATCCTCCACTAAGAATCAAAATACAGATGCGTTGTCACCCCTGAGGACTAAAATGGAATGCCTTGTTTCCAGTAAAAAAGGGCGTCTGGATCTCAACACTCACCATATGAAACACAGCAGTAGTTGAGCCGACCCATTCGTGCTACAACCGTAATATAGCTGTAGCGTGGCTCTACCACATATATAAGGTTATTGGGAAGTTCATATGCTTGCATTGCCCCTATGCGGTAATTCATTCCCTGGACCTTCAAAATATTTTATATTCCTCATAATGTTTTTTCTCTTTACTACTGAGCATTTAATAAATTATTACTTAAAATTAATTACAATTACAATTAACATAATTTTTGTTTTTAGTAATTTTTATATTTCTGTTTTGCGAACCACAAAAAAAAGGCAATTTTGGTAAACTAAACTGTCATAAACTATACAAAATGTGAGATGGGAACTTTACTCTTGCGTTAGAAATGTTAAACTATTGATGATTATGTAACAACCTGGTAACAGATGCAGGAAGTCGGTGGATACCAGTGACTCAGGAACATGCTTTGTGGCATTCCTTGGGGCCGGCCTATATTCAGCAGTGAGCAGCCCTTCACATCACCATCATTGCATCCATCGAGTTCCTGCATGTCTTACCAGGTCGTCGCTCCATCAAGTGGGGGTTGCCCTGTACTACGCCTACCGGTACGAGGCTGCCATTTCAGCTTACTAATCCGTAGGGCTATGTCGGTCTCTCTGGCTCTACTGTGAATATCCTTATTTCTATGTTTATCATGCAGAAAATCCCAAGCATAGCTCTCTCCATAGCTCGCTGAGCAACCTTAAGCGTCTTCATACGGTCAGCAGAAACGATGATGATGATTGATACTTTACTTTACTTTACTTATCTTCACGCACAATCCCTAACGGGGTAGCCAGAGAGAACAGATCGCCAAGTGTCACGATCCTTACATACCTCTTTCGCTTCTTTCAGGTTCATTAACTTCTTCATACATGCACGTCTAGGTATCCGAGTACTCTTGACCCTCCCCTCTTCGAGCAACTTTCGAAGACCATGTGAGCAATGATGATTGATAATTATAAAGAACTTCCGAAATCCGATTTATTGTCACTGCATACTATGAAGATGTGTTATTTTTTAAATAGTCGGTCACCTGATCACATATCAGATCCTATCACTGTAGTAAATTGAACGGGTATGTCTATCTGCTTCAGTTTACTTTCATTGAGTAATAGTAAATTCTTGTTTTACATTCCAGGTATTCGATATACTTAATGACGATGTAAAGGATTTAGGAGGGAAATTTGGCTTGGTCCACGATAAGGGCACTTATGATGCAGTCAGTCTTAACCCCAACAATCCAAGAAGGCAGCGACAAAAATATATAGAACAAGTGACAGAGATGTTAGCTGACAATGGTTAGTAAACACTTCTAAATAATTTTAAACTTATTAAGGGTATCTTTTACTATACTGAATGACCTTTTTTGTGGTCTGGAAAAAAATAGGATATAACATGTGAACGGAGTAGAAGCCTATGGCATTGATATTTTACAAAAAAAAATTAAAACAAGACTTTGCACTTTTCCCTAGAGCCTGTGACCCTGCGAATTGACAAGGTCAAAGATGCCTACTAAATTTATTGTTTTACTGCCGTTCGTAAAGTAGGGTGGATACGACTTGAATTTTAATAGATTTTAATAAATTTATTTATTTAATTCAAAATTTTTGTTTTTATTTTTTGTAAAATATCAGTGCCATAGGCTTCTACTCCGTTCACATGCTACACCATATTTTTTTCTAAATGGTAAAAAAGGTCACCCAGTATATCTATAACAGCTTATATAAGTCCACTGCTGAACATGGGCCTTCATCATAGATTGCTTCATAGGATTTTGCCGTAGTTGCCAAGTTTGGCATGTGGGTTGGCAACTGCATTCTTATTTTTATTCAGTTGTTATCACGAAGATGCTGCTGCCCATCTCCTACTTCTAGTTTATCTCAGTCGTCTCTTACGACGTAAGATAATGTCTTTTTTTATAGGATAAGGGTGACAAACGAGCACACAGTCCACCTGATGGTAAGTGGATGCTGTGGCCCATAGGCATCTACATCTATCCTCGATTACGAATCAAAAAGCAGATGCGTTGTCACTCGTGAGGACTAAGATGGAATGCCTCGATCCCAGTAAAATGGGTCTCCGGTTCTCTACACTCACTATATGAAACACAGCAGCATTAAGCAACTATTTCACGCTGGTATTCTGTGAGAGCGTGTTCGTTCCCCGGTCGAGCCGACCCATTCGTACTACAACCATAATATAGCTGCAGCGTGGCTCTACCACCTAATAAATGTGATCTTATGTTTCTAAAATGTTTTGTATGGCTACGGAAGAGCAGGAGTCTGTCACAAGTACCTTAAGGTACTCAAAAGACGCTCCCTACCTTATGCAACTCGTTAGATGCTTCATCATCATAACAGCCCTTCACAAGTACACTTCTGAACATAGGTTTCTTAAGTGCCTTACCAGGGCATCACTCCTTCTAGAAAGAAAAGAAGAAAAATATTTATTTCTGACACACACAAGGCACCAAAACACAGAAGCAAAGTCAAAAAAAAAAAAATTTCAAGAACGAAACACAGGAAAAAGTAAAATATGTAAAATCATACTTACATATTCCTTTACACACCTCAGACGAAAACATAATCTTTGTACAACATACTTAGATAAAAATTTAATTTTTCTAAGAACTAAAATGAACAAGTATCACCAATATTAAGCTCACAAAACACTTTTTTTCACTTAAACCAACTTGTAAACTCCTTAGATCGCTACGAACTGTCAAAGTTGTTTAGCAAAGTGTAGTTTGCTAAACAAAAAAACCGGCACGAAGAAAGGGACAAACAATCACACCGCTCGGTCTTATTTCTATGCAAGACGTATGAATAAATCTATCTTTTTCGTGTGCGAATGCGAAAGAAGGTGTCAATTTGTCTATAGGTTTCTCGGTCTACGGTCGCCAAACTATGATTTTATTTATAGAAGAGGGGGCAAACGAGCATGCGGCTCACCTGATGGTAAGTGACTACCGCCGCCCATGAACATCCGCAACACCAGGGGAATCGCAGGTGCGTTGCCGGCCCTTTAGAAAGGAGTAAGCTCTTTTCTTGAAGGTCCCCAGGTCGTATCGGTCCGGAAAAATCTCCGGTGGTAAACCATTCCACAGAGAGGTCGTACGCGGAAGAAAGCTCCTTGCGAAGCGTACAGTGGTGGACCGCCAAGCATCCAGATGGTGTGGATGGTAAACCAATTCAGCATTATGTCAGGTTAGAAACCTAACGCTGATTTTTTATTGGTCCCCTGAAGACCAATCTACGTCTTGAGGCGCCCCCACACTTCACATTGTTTTCGACAAATCTAACACTGATTTTGTTTAATGTGACAAAGAATACACTGTCATTATTTATGTGCGCACTTTGTCAACGTGGTTTGAAGCTTATTTCAGATATGGAGGTAACTTTATTTCATATTTGCCTAAAAACAGTAACATATGTATTGTGTCGATACTCGCTCGCACCCATTTCCTTGCGGTCCACAACTGTGTGAGATAGATTTTGTCCTGAATTGCCGATCAAGTATTAGACATGGAAGACTGGCTACTGTAGGTGAACTTCGACTTTGCGTGAAACTTTTTAACGTGGTAGAGACATGCTGCAGCTATATTAGTACACTTAGTTGTAGCACGAATGGGTCGCCCCGACCGGGGGAGGACCACGCTCTCACAGAATACCAGCGTAAAATAACAGCTTAATACTGCTGGGTTTCGTATGGTGAGTGTAGAGAACCGGATGCCCTTTTTTACTGGAAACGAGGTATTCCATCTTAGTAGAAGATAGATGTAGATGTCTATGTTCGTTTTGTCATCCTTATCCTATAAAAAAAAAACTTCCGTACCCTTGTTGCCTCTAGCTGTTATCGTTACTGTCACAGGTCACAGCACATCAAAAGCCCACTGGTGAACATAGACCTCCTCCATATCTGACTAGTAATATACATAGAAGTCTCTGTATGACGACACTTCACGGTGCTTACACATTGGGTGCGTTTGACAGAAAAAAGCGCTTGTAAGCAAAATGGCGAAACTAAACAGTTTTCGGCCAGGACACGTTTGCTAACTTCAGTAACGCTGACACAATCCGCCATTTTGCTTATTTATTTTGTTTGTTTTGAAGTAGAGTTTATAAGTTGTTTTGTGCAATATTAGTTTTAAGTAATATAATGACATGAATAGACATACACATGTTATTAAAAATTCATGATTGGTAAGTTTTTAATATGAATACTTTACAAACATATATTTAAATTAGGTTAGGTTCCCCGGTTAAAACTAACTTCGTGTCCTGGAGGAAAATAGCTACTTACGATTTGACAGCGCTTACCGCTTACGATCGTCATTTATTTTTTCTGCCAAACGCACCCAATCCCTTAAAAAACCCAATTTATGAAAATTGTACAAGACGTTTTAATTATTTTAAGGTTTTTTCGTAATAACTTCGTGCAACTGGACGGAGAGCGAACTGTTCAATCATTTCTCCGAGAAGATGAAGTTTAAGTGCGTGATACCGACGCCGCAGTTTACTTTTGGCGGCACAGTTGGCAGCATGGTGACGTCCGTTGTCTTTGTGAAGTAATAAAAACTATTTGTGTAAATTTGTTGGTTTTATTTATTACTTATTATTGTAATAATAATGTCCTCCAGACCGAATTTCGGTCACGGCGGCCTGCCTCAACGGAGGCTAGCCAACGGCGCAGGATCGAAACAGGAACACTTTCTTACCCTGAAACCCTCTCAGAAATAGGGAGGCCTGTGCCTAGCCGTGGGACGTATATGGGCTGTATCTTTAACTTTTTAACTTTATCTACCGAATTTCAGCATATCTTAATATTAATTAATGTCCTCCAGACCGGATTTCGGTCACAGCGGCCATCCTCGACGGAGACTAGCCATCGGCGCAGGACAGGATTATAGTTAATCCCAAGTGTATGCGCAACCACAGGTGCACCCTATTCCCTCACTCTCATAGTCCGATGGGACGGTAAACCGATACGACCGGAGAGAGATCAGGCGCAGAACCAACGGCTTTACGTGCTTTCCGAGGCACGGGAGTGAGACACCGCCAACTTCCTTACTCCGGGCGGCTACTGAGATTTTCTTGACGGAAAAACTCAATAATTGATTTTGTGGGCCCGACACGGGTTCTAACATAGGACCTCATGATCAGCATTCGCACTACTACAACCACTAGACCAACGAGGCAGTCGGTTATTATTGTATATAGTATATTATTGTGCGAGCTGTAACAACACCCTATTTCACTGCCTCAGAGGATGAATTTTCTAAAATCTTTTCTTAGTGGATACTTGCTACTTACAAGTAAATCGGGCGTATAATTTTGGAGATCTCGTGAAGAGTGAGTGAGTCGGTGGTATTTCGCTTTTATATTTGGGTTTGCTTAAGTACTTTGATAATTGATAGAATCAGGCGTTACTTTGCGGAAATCCATTATGATAGCGGCGTTTTCTACCCCGAAGGGAGAAAAACGCTTATTTCAGGTCTTACCAAGGCTTGACCTTTCGGAGATTACGCTTTCCCCAAATCAATGCAAACAGTTTTGTTTCCACTCAATTAACCCCTAACCAGTGCGAGTAACCAAGAGGGCAGCTGTATCCGTCTCGCAGAATCGGGCAGCAGGCAAGACGTCAGCGGCGCGGAACGCACCGCGACCTTTTGTCAGTACCACTTCCGTGAGCATGGCGGCAAGGCCTTGCTATACGGAGAGGGGAAATATCTAATCAAACTTAAAATACTCGTTTATTTCGAACATAACTAAAACAAGTAAATGAAAAGACGGAACCGTATTTGATTCAACATATAAATAATGTATAACAAATTGTTAATAACTTTCTTTAGAAAACAGAAACGTTAACAAAAGAAAACTTCTTATAATGTCTAAGTCTTATGACAATACATATCAATAACAATATTTTGGCATGTGCTTTGTACCTTTGAAACAGTCTTGCAATAGTATTTAAAGAAATTATTATTTCTTTTCCAATTCCCTTTACGTAATATTTCCTCTAAAGAAATATTATTAGCGTATCTAAATGAAGCTACTGCAGATCTGATGCTTCCTGGACTAGACAAAATACCAGCTTCGATGAAAGCTGTTTTAACCCAACTTGCTATAACAGATCTTAAAGCTGCTTTCACTAGTCCTCTAGTGGAAATAAATAAACTATCTAAGTTAGGATCAGCTTTCCTCCTTTCTTTAGTCACACTTAATAATGTTGTGACCCAAAAGTGTAAATCAAAGTTACGATCTTCTGATTTAAGAATTTTCCAGCCTGATTTCATGTTGTTCGCCTTGTCTGTTTTCGGCCCGAATTTTGGCCAAAAATCACATAATTTGAATCTATCTCCATGAACTCATTTCCTGTAGAAAGTAAGGTAAGGTCATGAATTATTCGTCCGGATGCAAGCAATAAAAGTAATGCAGTATACCTCGAGGTTTGAAAAATACTATTTCTATCAGGAAGATTTTTCTTCATCCACGATAACAACGTTTCTACATTCCAAACTTCGTCCTTACGTTTTAAGGCTGAGCTTCTCTTAAGGCTCACAGCTTTTAAAATAGATTTCACAATCGAATGTGAACTAATCGTTTCTCCCAATTCAGGATTTGAAAAGGTAGCTACCACGGAATTGTGGACTAAAATAGTTCTATACGCAAACTTTTTATGCACACATAGGTAACTAAGATACAACGCAACATATTGTGGTGTAGGAATTGTTGGATTTATATCATTCATTTTACACCATGTAAGCCAAGAATTCCAGGCTGTTTTATATGTTTTCATTGTAGAGTCGCGCCATGCTAATCGTATCAACGACAGATCTTCTTCGCTCCAATCTCTTAAAAGTGGATCCTACCCGCAATTTTTCAGACCTCTAAAGACTGTCTGGAGGAGGCTTGTTGGTCGTCAAGTCTATCAAGTGATCTCCAAGATTCTTTATCATTAATGGTTGATCCTTTGTTCAGTTCCTGAGATCGCCACACCAATACACTTTTTCCCATCTTGGTGCTACTAGTAGGTACGTTCCTGTGGCATGGTTCAGATGCTGCAGAACTCTTTGATTAGAGTTGGAGGAGGAAAGACCCATGCCAGGTGGTATCTCCAGATCTGACTGAACTCTTTGTGGAACACAGCTTTGCTGTCTTTTGGGTTTAGTGACACATAACTGGGCACTACCGCTGATTGATCTGTTGCAAACAAGTCTATTTCCGGAATTCCCCATTTTTCGAAAATTATATCTGTTATACTGGACAATAGATGCCAATCGGGCATAGGTAGATTTCTGGAAAGGCGATCGGCAATACAATTGTATCTTCCAGGTATGTAGAACGGATGGATCTGAATTCGTAATTCTCTCGCCATTATCAACAACTTTTTTGTTGCCTCAATTAATACAAGAGATTTTGTTCCTCCTTGTTTTCTGATTTAGGCCACAACAGTCTTGTTGTCCGATTGGATCATAACCGTTTGATCTTTTAATTCGTGTCTGAACCTGTTGAGAACTATCCAAATCGTGTACAACTCCTTCAAATTGACATGCCAATACTTTTGGGACTTTCTCCAAGGGCGTTATCAGAGTTGTAGGATGTTCTATAAATATTGCATCTGATTCTCAGATTTTAGAGGTATCAACATTCGTAGTCGAGGCGCTTCTTCGGGAAGAAGTCGACTTGCTCTTTGTAGACTTGACCTTATGTTTAGGCGACCCAATGGTGTTGTGAAGGCAGCAAATGTCAATTTCCCTATCAACGAAGTACCTATTTCCCAATTCCAGAATTTGGAATTTATGACCCGGTCGAGATCCTGAAGGATTCTGTTCACTTTCTTTTCGGGAAGAGACTTTCGATTTATTGCGGTGTCCCACAAGATTCCCAGAAATTCTAAATTTTTTGTGAGAAAAAGAATAGATTTTTGGAAGTTTATTACCTAAGTTGAGTAGAACCGTTTTCACATACTTTATTTGGCAGCTGAGAGCATTTTGGTCTTGACTTACTATCAGAAAGTCGTCCAAATACACTATTACCCGAATGCCTTTTTTAGTAAATGACTTGCTATCCAATTCGTGATCATGGCAAAAGGTAAAGGAGCGCTTGCCAGTCCAAAAGGTAGACACGTCCATTGATAAATCTCTTTTTGGTAAACAAAAGCTAGGAATCGGTGATGTTGCTTTTTGCTCGGTACATGCCAATATGCCTTTGAAAGGTCTATTTTTGATATGTAATCTAGCTCCTGCAGAAAATTCGGGACATCGTTTTGATTTATTAAACTGAACTTTTTTGGTTTCAAAAACATGTTTAACTGTTTGAGGTTGAAAACAGATCGCATAATGTTGTCGGATTTCCTTACGAGAAACATTTGAGATAAGAATCCGGTCGTTACTTTTTTTCTATAACACCTAATCTTATCATATTTTGTATTTCCTGTTGCAGTGGTAGGTACTCCTTCACCGAAAATCTTCTTATGTTGTGCTTTGAAAATGGTATGATTGGAGGTCGCATGACGAAAGATATAATATACCCTTCTAAGATCCGTAGGATATGAGGAGGTGGGTTTAGTTTTTTCCATCCGAGGCGAGTCAATCCCGCTGACTACTAAATTTTGGGTTCGCTTTTCAGATGACTTTGACTGTTTAGGTGGAGTCTTGGTAAACTTATTTGGAGTCTTGTTTGAGTTCCGTTGAGTGCTTGATGTATTTGTCGAGCACGGATGTCGAAACTTTGCTTTATTGTATTGTTGTTGGTTTTCCTGAAATGGCTTCTTGAACCTTGAATTAAATACTCGAAAGGAACCTCCTTCTCTTTTAAATAGTTCAGATAATTTTTGCTCGTCACCTGCTGCCCGCCGGCTGCAACGCCGGCACAGCAGATAGCAGCCTTCGCACTACGGTTTCAAACCTGGTGACGTATGTTAATGAGCCCGCTAGGGACCCGATCACTTTGACATCTACAAATGTAAACAAGCGATCTTATGTTGATACGGTTAAAGAAAGTGAACGGAAGATATTGAAACCAGACAAGGAATGGACACTTGTGCAAAGAAGAAGATTGAAGAATAGGTTTATAGGGATGAAAGGAAAAGCAAGTACAGAGACTACAGATAATTTCAAAGCAGCCGACATTAAGATCCCATTATTTATCAATAATGTTGACAAAGAAACATCAGCGGATGTTATAATAAACTATATATTTAAGAGAACAAAAGTTAAAGTATTTTTAGAAGAGATTAAAATGAAGTATGAGCGTGAATATAATGCTTTTAAGGTTTATGTGCCAAGATACAAAATTGATATATTTCTTGATAGTAGTCTATGGCCTGAGGGAATATCATTTCGTAAATATATTAACTTCAGAAACCGTACAGCAGGTAAAAACCACAGTAATTATTTTGTATCACCTAAATAATGGATAGTAAATACTTGAAAATTATATCCTTCAATTGTAAATCAGTCACAAGATCAGTCGAGGGCATACGAGAGCTATGTAAATCTGCGGATATCATAGCATTGCAGGAGACATGGCTGTTGCCGTATGATGCAGCCTACATCGACTGTTGCAGTAAGTCTGCGGTTAACATCGGTGACGGATTGTTTAGAGGTCGACCGTACGTAAATCTTTGTTTACATCTGTGTCTATTGTGCAGTGTAACTTATTGCGTTTGGCCGCGATTAAAACTATTGTGGACGACAAGACTACATTATTCATCAACGTATATACGCCCTGCGACTCGTGGGACAATTTAATAGAATTTACAAGCTGTCTCAGTGAAATAAATGCTATAATAGAATGTAATAATATAGATTCTGTATTTATATTAGGAGATTTTAATGCGCATCCTGGCGAATTGTTTTTTAATGAAATGAGTAATTTTTGTTTTGAACGAATATGGGATGTAGTGGACTATGACTATTTAAAAAATATGATACGTTTACGTATATAAGTGATATAAATGGTTCTCATCGCTGGCTGGATCATTGCATTACAACTAAGTCAGCCATGAAATCTGTTGTAAATATTAGGGTACTTTATGATGTTTTTTGGTCTGACCATTTTCCACTTGAAATAACTATTGATATGGGAAAAATAAGTTATAAAGTAGAAGAATGTAATCTTCAATCTGATAAAGCTGTATGGGGTGTAAGAAATCAAAGTCAAATAAAAAAATATTTTGCAATTTGTTGTGAAAAGCTTAGATATATAGATTTTCCTGAAGAGTTTATGTCTTGTGCTAATAACCACTGTTCTATTTTGGGACATAAATTAATAATCGATAAAATGTATGACAGCATCATATGTACTTTGAGAGGGGCAGCAATAGCGATCAAGTATAAAAATAAATGTTTGGGTTGGAATAAATATATTAAACCATTTCACAGTGAGGCGCGAATTCGCTTTCATATGTGGGTATCATATGGAAAACCTAAAATTGGAATTTATTACGAAAGAATGAAAGAAAGTAGAAAACTGTTTAAATCAAAAATAAAATGGTGTCAGAATAACGAACAAAAAAATGCAACTACACATATTAAAACCAAAAACTTTTCAAAATTTTGGAAACAAACCAACAAAATGAATCCAAGGCTGAGAGTCCCTGCAAGTATTGATGGTGAAAGTGATGCGAGCAAGGTGGCAAATATTTTTAAAAATCACTTTAAGTGTACCGATGAAAAATCATCGTAGAATTTCGATACAGGTATCCGGGATGGAGATGAAACCACGTGCTTTACGGCTAAACATGTTAAAGACGTAATTAAAAAATTACACGTGGTAAATCTCCAGGTAATGACAATATCAGTATCGAACACCTGCAATATGCTGGTGTCCACCTTCCACGTGTCCTGGCCATTACTTTTTGCATAGGACACTCGTAATTACCTTCTGATCTTATGGAAACGATTGTTGTGCCAGTACTGAAATATAAAACAGGAGATTTGTCGGACAAAAACAATTATAGACCTATCTCCCAGGCTACTACTATAGCGAAAGTGATGGACGGTCTGCTTGAGAGGAAGTTACAGGCATCCATTAATCTGTGTGATGCACAATTTGGTTTTACACCGCAGTTATCCACAGAAAGTGCTGTACTTTGTCTCAAGCACACTGTACGCTACTACAAAATCGTAGGACACCTGTTATAGGCTGTTTTTTGGACCTATCAAAGGCCTTTGATACGGTTAAATACGATATACTTTGGAAGAAGCTGGCTACTGAAACTAATGACTTTCCTAATGACTTAATAGGTCTGTTTCAGTATTGGTACGACAATTAACAGAATCAGGTGAGGTAGGCAGGCGTGCAATCTGAGGCGTATGGGCTGAAGTGCGAAGTAAGACAGGGCGAACTATCTTCTCCTGTACTTTTTAACCTCTACGTGAACAGTCTGATTGACGAACTCAGTGGTAGTGGAGTCGGCTGCTCTATTGATAATATTGCATATAACAACATAAGTTACTCCGACGATATGGTGCTGCTGAGCCCATCAATTAGTGGTCTAAGAAAACTACTCAGTATCTGTGAGAAGTATGCAACGGCTCATGGCCTACGATATAATTTTCCCACTGTCGCTCTTGAAGGTGTACCACCGAAAAGAGTGACAAGTTTCAAATACCTGGGACACTGGGTTACTGAAAATATGTCAGATGATATTGACATAGAGAGGGAACGCAGGGCTCTAGCTATGAGAGCGAATATGCTCACCCGTAGATTTGCAGGGTGTAATATAGAAGTTAAAAAAACTCTATTCAGAGCCTATTGTCAGTCCTTTTACACCTGCAGTCTATGGGTTGAGTATACACGGAGGACGCTCACAACCCTGCACGTCCAATATAATAACGGCTTCAGGGTGCTGATGGGGCTGCCTCGGTACTGCAGCGCGTCGACAATGTTTGCTGAGGCTCGCATAGATAGTTTCCCAGCTATCATGCGCAAACGGGTTGCCTCCGCCATGGTGCCGTGTCCGGGATAGCTCCAAAAGCCTCCTGGCGGCGATAGGGAGTCGCTATTGCTGTCCCATCTTGAGACACTGGAACAGCGTGCATATTGGCTCGAGACCTGCTCTGGTAAATATAAAGTGGATAGTGTATAGTAATATAGTATGTAACCTTTTAAATTTAATTTTTTACTAACCCTAGCTTATAAGTTCTTTTTGTAATTACTAACCCACTCTATGGAAAGAAATTTCTGAAATAAAGAATAATAATAATAATAATAATTTTCTGCCTCTCCCTGAACCCTCTCAGTACCCTAATGGAGGGATCCGTGAGAGGATTTCAGCTACGGAAAGGAGGGACAAAAGTGACTCACCTTTTTCTATATGGATGACCTTAAGTTATTCGCTTCCAGTCGCTCCCATCTTGTGGAATTGCTAAAAATCACTTGTGAGTTTAGCAGTTCCATTGGAATGGAGCTGGGGACGGATAAGTGTGCGGTCCTCCATGTTGAGAGGGGAAGGGTTGCTAACTCTGAGGGCATAGATTTATCTATGCCCGTCAACTTAAGGACCCTCTCCGAGGCTGAAACATACCGATACCTGGGCATGTCACAGAACATAGGTATCGATGAGGCTGGTGTGAAACAGTCAGTTTGCGACGTGTTTTATGCACGCTTGACCAAAGTGCTTAATAGCCTTTTGTCCGGTGTGAATAAGACACACGCATATAACGGTTGGGTCATGCCTGTCCTTATGTATACCTTTGGCATATTCAGGTGGACTCAGACTGAACTTAACGCCCTGGATATAAAAGTCCGCACTACCATGACGTCCCATAGGATGCATCATCCGAGATCGTCGGTAATGAGTCTGTACTTGCCGCGAAAGCATGGTGGGCGTGGCTTTCTGAGCGCGCTCACTATGCATAATCGTGAAGTGTGCAGCCTCCGTCATTACTTCCTGGCGAGATCGGATGATCCATTCTATAATTACGTCATTTCTAGTGATAAAGGGCTTACCCCTCTATCCTTGGCCAACGAGCAATGGCAGGACCCAGCAGTGCTTAGCATTTCCGACCGGGAGACCGTATGGAAGGAGAAGGAGCTCCACTGGAGGTACTACAGGGCTCTACATGAGCCCTTCGTAGATACAGTCGCCTCCCTCAACTGGCTACGTTTCGGTGACCTCTTCGGGGAAACCGAGGGTTTTGTCTGTGCAATACAGGATCAGGTTATTAAGACCAACAACTATCGGAGATACATCCTAAAGGATGGCACCGTCGACGTCTGTCGAGCTTGTCGCCATCCCGGGGAGTCACTTAGGCATGTTATCTCCGGTTGTTCGGCGCTTTCTAACTCTGAGTACTTGCACAGGCACAACCTAGTAGCCAGAATTCTACACCAGGAGCTCGCTCTGAAATACGGTCTCGTGGACCGGAAATTGCCGTATTACAAGTACTTGCCGAAAGCCGTGCTCGAAAATGACCGCGCCAGGCTCTACTGGGACCGGGCCATCATCACAGACAGGACTATTCTTGCGAATAAGCCTGATATTGTGCTGATGGACCGGGCACAGTCAAGGATATTTTTGGTCGACATTACCATTCCGTATGACGAGAACCTCGTGAAAGCCGAAACAGACAAGCGAACAAAATATCTGGACCTGGCTCACGAGGTGACCGACATGTGGGGTGGCTTGGCCGACCGAAATTATTCCTGTAGTCGTCTCTGCAAACGGGCTAATCCCAGTCAGCCTCTCGGGTCATCTGAGGCGGCTGGGACTCCGTGGCGGACCGCTCCAGGCTCAAATGCAGAAGGCGGTGCTCCTCGATACCGCCCGCATCGTCCGTCGGTTTCTTACCCTTTCCCCCTAACCCTCGGCCGTTTGGTCTTCTCTGCCGAGGGCCTCCATCTGGTTGGGTCTTTACTTATTTGTGTACTTTTGTATTTATTTTATTTTATTGATATTTATGTATATTTATCTTTTCATTTTAATTTATAATTATATATTTATAGAAACCAACCAGATGAGAAAACTATACAGATACCCCATAATAATAATCTATTTGGAAGCCAGCCGGGACCTTTGCGAGACGGACTCAGTTCTTTTTGGCGCCGCAGTGGCAGCTTGCCGTATTATTGGCGCCAAACTTCCCATGGCTGGACGCGCTACTAAACAAAGTAGCGCCATCCCAGCCTGGAGAAAAAGAATTGGGGACCGTATCGCAAAGGCAAGGGCCCTTATCGGCAGACTGATAAACTTCAGGTCGGGTAATAATAGACCGAGGGTTGTGCGCACCGTTAGATTGGCGTTTGCTGGGACAAATATCAGTTTGTCCCAGCCGGATATCACGCAGAAACTAACGGAGCGCATAGACGACCTGAAGCAAAAGATTGCCGCTTGGGGGAAGCGGATTCGCCGATTTACCGAGAGGTCAAGGCGGTTCAACCAGAATCGTCTCTTCCAGAGTGATCAGAAGAGGCTCTACAAATCATTGGAGCGACCAGAGGTATGTAGAGCGGGCCCAGGACCGGAGCAGACTAACACTGTCGCATTTTGGCGTGGCCTGTGGTCAGAGCCCGTAAACCACAGCGAGGGCCCTTGGACGGAAGTTGTGGCGAGTCAGTGTGCGAGTATTACGCCCATGGACCCCGTCATCATAACGCCGGATGACGTAGCTGAGGCGGTCCGTAGAGCCCCGAACTGGAAAAGTCCGGGACTCAACGGACTGCATCACTACTGGCTGAAGGGGTGCATGGTGTGTCACGCTGTGCTCGCCCGTCAGTTTCAAGAGGCTCTCAACCAGAAGTCGCTCCCTAGCCTCTTCACTACTGGGATCACTCATTTGGTTCCTAAAGACCAGGTTACCACAGACCCGAGCAAATACCGCCCCATTACGTGTCTACCCACCATATATAAGACACTGACATCCATTTTGAGCGCGAGAATCACTCGTCACCTGGAGCTAAATCAGGTGATGTCACGCGCTCAAAATGGATGTCGGGGCGGTGGTCGTGGAACTAAGGAACCACTCCTCATTGACGCGGTCATTGGCAAAGTGGTGAAACGCAACCGTCGGAACTTCTCCGCCGCCTGGATAGACAACAGAAAGGCATTCGACTCGGTGCCCCATACATGGCTAAAGAGAGTCCTCGAGCTGTACAAGATAGACTGTACAGTGAGAGACTTCCTCGAGCAGTGTATGGGGCAGTGGAGGACGAGCCTTTGTCATCTGGGTGAGCGGATGATGGCTGCGGAGAACCACATAAGGATAAGAAGGGGTATCTTCCAGGGCGATTGTCTGAGTCCAATCTGGTTCTGCCTCTCCCTGAACCCTCTCAGTACCTTACTGGAGGGATCCGGGAGAGGATTTCAGCTACGGAAAGGAGGGACAAAAGTGACCCACCTTTTTTATATGGATGACCTTAAGTTATTCGCCTCCAGTCGCTCCCATCTTGTGGAATTGCTAAAAATCACTTGTGAGTTTAGCAGTTCCATTGGAATGGAGCTGGGGACGGATAAGTGTGCGGTCCTCCATGTTGAGAGGGGAAGGGTTGCTAACTCTGAGGGCATAGATTTATCTATGCCCGTCAACTTAAGGACCCTTTCCGAGGCTGAAACATACCGATACCTGGGTATGTCACAGAACATCGGTATCGATGAAGCTGGTGTGAAACAGTCAGTTTGCGACGTGTTTTATGCACGCTTGACCAAAGTGCTTAATAGCCTTTTGTCCGGTGTGAATAAGACACACGCATATAACGGTTGGGTCATGCCTGTCCTTATGTATACCTTTGGCATACTCAGGTGGACTCAGACTGAACTTAACGCCCTGGATAGAAAAGTCCGCACTACCATGACGTCCCATAGGATGCATCATCCGAGATCGTCGGTAATGAGGCTGTACTTGCCGCGAAAGCATGGTGGGCGTGGCTTTCTAAGCGCGCTCACTATGCATAATCGTGAAGTGTGCAGCCTCCGTCATTACTTCCTGGCGAGATCGGATGATCCATTCTATAATGACGTCATTTCTAGTGATAAAGGGCTTACCCCTCTATCCTTGGCCAACGAGCAATGGCAGGACCCAGCAGTGCTTAGCATTTCCGACCGGGAGACCGTATGGAAGGAGAAGGAGCTCCACGGGAGGTACTACAGGGTTCTACATGAGCCCTTCGTAGATACAGTCGCCTCCCTCAACTGGCTGCGTTTCGGTGACCTCTTCGGGGGAAACCGAGGGTTTTGTCTGTGCAATACAGGATCAGGTTATTAAGACCAACAACTGTCGGAGATACATCCTAAAGGATGGCACCGTCGACGTCTGTCGAGCTTGTCGCCATCCCGGGGAGTCACTTAGACATGTCATCTCCGGTTGTTCGGCGCTTTCTAACTCTGAGTACTTGCACAGGCACAACCTAGTAGCCAGAATTCTACTCCAGGCGCTCGCTCTGAAATACGGTCTCGTGGACCGGAAATTGCCGTATTACAAGTACTTGCCGGAAGCCGTGCTCGAAAATGACCGCGCCAGGCTCTACTGGGATCGGGCCATCATCACAGACAGGACTATTCTTGCAAATAAGCCTGATATTGTGCTGATGGACCGGGCACAGTCAAGGATATTTTTGGTCGACATTACCATTCCGTATGACGAGAACCTCGTGAAAGCCGAAACAGATAAGCAAACAAAATATCTGGACCTGGCTCACGAGGTGACCGACATGTGGGGTGGTCTGCCGACCGAAATTATTCCTGTAGTCGTCTCTGCAAACGGGCTAATCCCAGTCAGCCTCTCGGGTCATCTGAGGCGACTGGGACTCCGTGACGGACCGCTCCGGGCTCAAATGCAGAAGGCAGTGCTCCTCGACACCGCCCGCATCGTCCGTCGGTTTCTTTCCCTTTCCCCCTAACCCTCGGCCGTTTGGTCTCCCCTGCCGAGGGCTTCCATCTGGTTGGATCTTTATTTATTTGTGTATTTTTTGTATTTATTTTATTTTATTGATATTTATGTATATTTAACTTTTCATTTTAATTTATAATTATATATTTATAGAAACCAACCAGATGAGAAAACTATACAGATACCCAAAAAATAATAATAATAATAATAAATGGGTGCGTGAAGGTGGGATATCATTCAATTCAGTTGCTAAGAATTCCGATCTAGGTTTAAAAAATTTTCGACGATTTTCGCGAACACTTCTGATCTACTTGCACATGTATAATGTAATAAATCATCCGATGTCTGTTTAAAATAATCTGATTTAGCAAAAAGAGATTGTTTCAAAACGAGACCGCTTCCGGATACTTTTTCTCGACCTCATTTAATGCTGCTTCAATCTGTGCCCTTTCTTTCAAGATGCCACGAGTGATAGTGCCTAAGGCAGTATCCGCTCTGGCCAATATTTTTTGAATGTGAGAAGTTAAATTGCGAAGACCTGTCAGTTGAGGATTTACTTTTAAAGCACTAAAAACTGGAGCTGCATGAAGGCGTTTTTGTACATCTTTATATTTTATCTTATTACAAGAATTTGAGTTCATTTTTTGACATGAATATCCTTGCTCTTCTATCTGAGGATCAACACTCGGAATAGATGGTTGAACTTCTTCAACAACAGGTGTAAAATCGTAGAAATATTTTTCTATCAGCGATTTTTGAACTATCCCTATGCCCGGAGTACGCCAAGTAGATTCAGTAGCTATATTTGAGTTTGAGGTAACATCAGAATCGCAGGCTTCGTAATTTTCATGATCTTCTGGCTCTGGATCTTGTTGGCCGTGATCAATAGATACAGCTCTTAGTTGATTTATTTATGACGATAGAGACTCAAAAATTGACATTACTTTATTCTCTAGAAGATCAACTCTTGACTTCTTCTTTGGTAAGGATGATTCACATATCTCAGTATGTGAGTTATCTGAATTAGAATATTCTAGATAAGCCCTTCTCCTTTTTCTAGGATAATTATTTTCTTCATCGCTAGATAGCGATGTAGCTAATTTTTTTAATTGATTCGAGCCTTCTTGTCTCGATACCAACATAGAATGTAAACTATTCTGTATTTCTGTAATAAAATCATTGTTTGAGTTGCAGAGCCTCTAATTAAGTTAGCTAATGCCGAAGGTGACATGATTAGCGCTCTACAAAACGCCCAATCCAGCATTTTTGCTTTATAATCACGATACGGTCTTTCTGATAAAAAGGTAGCTTCTGGTTTAAAGGCCGTTGCAATTCCAATCGTGGGAAGAGCATATCTTAACTTATTCAGAAGTTGTGGGTCCGGATTTGCACCAACTGTATCTTCTTTGGATAGCCTCGCAACCTTCCATTCACGCCAACCCTCTGGGAAATTGTTCTTTACTAACTGTTTAAGTCTTTCTAGAACTCCATTATCGTCATGTTCCGACGTATCACCGTACAACTCCCCAATCGTAGTACATGTTACCACCGCCGTCTGAAAATTATCCATTTATTCTTAAGGCAAGAAATTATATTGCATTAAAGCAAGTAACTGTACAGTGTAGAGAGATTCAATTTTGCATACTATTAAGCATAAAAGGATAAAACATAGAATAAATAAGCCATTAGGTTGCATCCTTAAGCCTCAGAGCTGCTAAGCTGTTGTATCTGAGCAATAAGGCCTGTCATATTTGACCCGTAAGGCTATTAAAAATGAGCCGTGAGGCTGCTATATTTGAGCCGAAAGCTGCTTTAAATGAGCCGTAAGGCTGCTTTGAATGAGCCGTAAGGCTGCTATAAATAAGCCGTAAGGCTGGTTTAAGTGAGCCATAAGGCTGCTAAATTTGAACCGCAAAGCTGCAATAGATATTCAGTAAGGCTGCTGTTTTTGAGCTAAATTGCTAGAATGGAAATAAATTCTCACTTCATAGATATTACCTTCACAAAACATATACATTACAGAAAACTAAAATATCAAATCATACGAATCTGACAGAGAATGTCAAATTAAATAATTAAATTGAATTTACCCCCTTCACTCTGACAGCGCGATTTAAGATAAAATAATATATTTCAAAATGTCTATCATGCAAAGAGTAATGAAATGTGAACAAAAATGAACACAATTAAAAATATTGAAATTATCTATTCATAAAAAATGATATGAACAACAAAAAGCTTCTTATTTGCCCTTACTCACACTATTAAATATTAAACATAAAAATTCTAACTTACTCTCTCATAAATATCACAATTTTCAAATTAAACAGTAAGATAATTGATAGAATCAGACGTTACTTTGCGAAAATCCATTATAATAAAAAATAAAAATATAAATTTCTTTGCAACTTTCCGCTAAACATATAAAATGATGTGTCTTACCTGGATTGAAGCGCACCTCCGCCCTCCCTCAATTGCATACACTAACTCCGTCACCACTAGACCAAGCACCACTACTCTCAACACCACTATTCCAGGCAAGACACACCATCGACGATAATACGCTACAGCTACTCAGCTGCCGTAGAGTCTATATTACCTGAGGATGCCTCGTGTAGAGGCGAAACACGTGTCGTATTATCGTCGATGGTGTGTCTTGCCTGGAATAGTGGTGTTGAGAGTAGTGGTGCTTGGTCTAGTGGTGACGGAGTTAGTGTATGCAATTGAGGGAGGGCGGGAGGTGCGCTTCAATCCAGGTAAGACACATCATTTTATATGTTTAGCGGAAAGTTGCAAAGAAATTTACTATTTTTATTTTTTAAATTAAACAGTAAGACTAACACGTCTGCATCGATCTCGGTGAAACAAGCGTACTGAGTATGACAAAAGGTCGCGGTGCGTTCACTGCGTTCCGCGCCGCAGACGTCTTGCCGGCTACCCGATTCTGCGAGACGGATACAGCTGCCCTCTCGCTTACTCGCACTGGTTAGGGGTTAATTAAGTGGAAACAACACTGTTTGCATTGATTTGGGGAAAGCGGAATCTCCGAAAGGTCAAGCTGAAGGCAGAGACATGAAATAAAAAATAAAAATATAAATTTCTTCGCAACCTTCCGCTAAATAAATACAATGATGTGTCTTACCTGGATTGGATTGGATTGACTTAGAGGTCAGCCGCCGTAAAGTCTACATTACCTGAAGATGCCTCGTGTAGAGGCGAAACACGTGTCGTATTATCGTCAATGGTGTGTCTTACCTGGAAAAGTGGTGTTGGGAGTAGTGGTGCTGGGACTAGTGGTGACGGAGTTAGTGCATACAATTGAGGGAGGGCGGGAGGTGCTCTTCAATCCAGGTAAGACACATCATTGTATTTATTTAGCGGACGGTTGCGAAGAAATTTATATTTTTATTTTTTAAGTACTTTGATTTATTAACTTCTCATTTAGTTTTAATATTACTGGTATTAATTTTACTTTTTTCCAAATTAACTTGTAGAACAAGCCATCTGTCTTAAGGTGTTTTACAAATCAAATCGTAATATAAAGTAAGCAGAAATTTTTTGTTGAAGTTAGATAAAACTCTCGGAAACTATTAATCATTGTTTTTTTTTTTTTTAATTAAGTGAAGGTAATTTGGCTTTTACGTGGTAGCTAGTAGAGCCACGCTGGTCTGGTTTACGATGTTAATGCAGTTAGCCTTTTTACTTATACAGCTTCATCCGTCTCAGGGCCCGCGGCCTCTTCATTCTGCGTCGTTACTTGTGTAACGATGACTCCTAAGACAGAGTGCGTTGCACGTGGGTGAGTTATCTCACGGCCCCGGCTCTGACGGCTAACTCGTATGGTTCTATGTTCCGGGCCCAGTGACTGTGGAGGGGTGTGTGGCGCGTCCGCTGAGTCCCGTACGTTGTCCTAACTAATGGTGGTTAATATAGCGCATAGCGCCATATTCTAGCGCGCTATCGCTTCATAACACATAGTGCATGCTATGTAAGTAGTCGCCATGGCTATATTGCGCTATGGCGCTTTGGCTCTAGCGGCAACTAGTTCCAGCAGCACCGCTGTTGGGAGAGGACGTGTGACGCAAATTTGATCTAGTAACACGCTATTCATCGCGCGCGACCTAATTTAGTGTTAGACGTTGTTTAGTTAGTGTATACTGTATATTTATAAGTGATCGAAGGACAGAGTTGTGTGCTATAAAAGAAGCCTAACTAATGTTTTTAAATGTAAATAAAATAAAGATACAAAAGTGTATATAATAGTGTATGTAAATAGTTGATTTTTATAAATACAATCAATAAACTTTTAAATACACCTTTATTTGATTTATAATTTATATTAGGATTATGGAAGGTCGTAAGCCTGAAAAGTATGAATAAAGCGTTCATTGGTTTCTATTTACCCCTTTATTTTAATTTAGTCTAAAATGCGACTTATTACGAAATAATGTTCTTATATAGCACGCGGTCTATCCAATGAACGACATGTAATGTAACGTGCTTCGAGAATTAACGTGCTGCAAAACTTAACGCGCTTGCTGGCCTCCTACACGCTTTCTTATAAATAGCGCGCTATAACATAGCGCATTTAATAGCGCGCTAGAAATTTATAGTTTATAGTCTGTAGCGTGCTATTGATTTACAGTCGTTTTGAACAACTTTAGTCCTAACAGAATTTTTGGCACTAGGTGAATGTGTAGTATCTGTGTGTAACGGGCCGGCGACATTTGAGTCGTCGGAATCTAGCGGAACTGGAATGACATGCCTTGACTAGGGTAGGTGCACGCTCTCACAGAATACCAGCGTAAAATAAAGATCCTTTTTACTGGAGACGAGGCGCTCTATTTTAAATTTGCATTTTGATTCGTAATCGAGGATAGATTCAGATATCTATAGGCCACAGCAACTACTTATTATCGGTTGGACTGTGTGCTCGCTTGTCACCCTATTTTATAAAAAAAAATGCGCAGAGGTGAAAACGCATCTAAATTTTGATTCTTAATCAAGAACAGATGTAGATGTCTACTGAAACAGGGTCAGTTCAACTGACCATTCCAACTGATCAGTTCAAACTAAAACTATTGATATTCTTTAAAAAAAAAAAAAAACTCCGATATTGATTTATTTATAATAATCTATATATCGAAATTCGACATCTATTTAACAGTTTTAGTTTCATGCCTTGGGGTCGATATGAGTTACAATGTTCACTTACCATCGGATGCATTGTGTTCGTGTCACCCTTATTTTATAAAAAAAATGTGACGCCTTTCGTAGGTATGGCGTTCCCAACGGAAACGTTAGACGTCAACAGTAACAAGGTTATAGGGTTATATCTCCTTCGAGACTAGACAATATCAAATTACTTTTAAAATTAATATTAAAAACTTAAAAATTATTTGTCCCTTAGGAGCAGAGTTGCCACACGTAATTTAAAATTATGCCAATAATATTAGAGTTAATAAAAACTTAATTAACGCGCATTGTTCATCAGCTTTGCCCTAATTATACTATTAGGTCATTCATTTTTACCGACTTCAAAAAGGAGGAGGTATTCAATTCGACGGTATTTTATGTGTGTTACCTCAGAACTTTTTTCTGGGTGAACCGATTATGATGATTCTTTTTTATCTGAAAGCTGGTGCTTCTCCTGTGGTCCCATACAAATTATCCGTATAATAATTGCGATCTGACCATTAGTTTTTGAGTTATCTTTAATAATATCTAATTAACTTCGAATACATTACAGCTTTCAAAAGATTATAATAATAATGTTCTCCAAACCGAATTTCGGCCACGGCGGCCTGCCTCAACCGGAGCCTAGCCATCGGCGCAGGACAGGATTATAGTGCCCAAGTGTATGCGCAAGCACAGGTGCACTCTCTATTCCCTCACTCTCGTAATCCGATGGGCCCGTAAACCGACACGACCGGAGAGAGATCAGGCGCAGAACCAACGGCTTTACGTGCTTTCCGAGGCACGGGGCTGAGAGACCGCCAACTTCCTGACTTCGGGCAGCTACTGAGAATTTCTTGACGGAAAAACTCAATAATTGATTTTTTGGCCCAACCTGGGGTTCGAACCCAGGACTTCATGATCAGCAGTCGCACTACTACAACCACTATACCAACGAGACAGGCAAACAAAAGATTATAATTGCATTACATCTAGATTATACGTATAGTTTGCTTCACACGGAGAAATGATTGTCAACCGCAGTTTTTTATTATTTTGCGTTGTTAACTGGAATATCTTGATGTCTATCTCCAACCTATATTCATTTGTCGCTTCATATGACACGTGCAGGAAGATATAGGATAGTGGATACTCTTACACCAGCACAATACACGGTCATAATCATAATGTTGTACAATTGTCGGTTTTTTTATAGGATAGGGTGACAAACGAGCACACAGTCCACCTAATGGTAAGTGGTTGCTGTGGCCCATTGACATCTACATCTATCCTCGATTACGAATCAAAATGCACTGATGCGTTGTCACCCGTAAGGACTAAGATGGAATGCCCCGTTTGCAGTAAAAAGGGTCTCTGGTTATCTACATTCACCAT